TGTTATTATTCTGTTGTTCAGAAGTTGTGGGAGCTTCATCCCTTGAGACTTTCAAGAAGAGATTGGACTGCCATCTGTCAGAAATGGTGTAGGGTCTCCTGCTTGGGCAGGGGGTTAGACTAGATGAACGATAAGGTCCCTTCTGACTCTGATTATCTGTTATTTGACAACCAAAGGAGAAAAGGCAGAGAAACTGTGAGTGTGGCCTCCTTCAAGCAGCCCAAGCTACTGGAAGCAATTAAAACCCGCTCTTGGACTCATTCAAAGAAGCTCTGGGGAAAGTGTCAATGCAGCAGGTGCCAGGGACGCTCAGGTGAGTGGAGGAGGTGACCCACATGCGGCCTGCTTCCAGGTGTGGCCAAGCTCTATCTGAGCAGGGACAGAGCAGTCTGTGGCCACGACAAAGGGCTCCTTTCATAGCTCAGGGTTGAAATGAGGGATCCTTGGTGCTCTTCCTATTTTGTTCTTAAAGATGTTGCATGACCCAAGTAGGGAACATCATCAACAGGAGGAGGAGGAGGAGGAGGAGGAGGAGGAGGAGGAGGAGGAGGAGGACAAGGAGGGGGAGGAGGAGGAGGGGGAGGAGGAGGAGGAGGAGGAGGATGCCTTGAAGACAGGACAAGAAGCAACGGATGGAAAGTAAGGAGGAATTTCCTGAGAGTGAGAATAATGAACCAGTGGAACAGCTTTGCCACCAGGAGTTGTAGTTGCTCCATGGCTGGAGGCTTTTAAGAAGAGACTGGGCAGCCATTTGTCTAGGGACTGAGCAGGGGGTTGGACTAGAAGACCTCCAAGGTCCCTTCCAACTCTCTTATTCTGTCTCCAGCTGGCTACTCCCGAAGGTCATGCCAGACTAAGGAAGAGGCCAACGGGCTACCTCAGCGCGCGTCTTCTGGGGCCCTCTTACAACCAGTCCCATGCGCAATATGCCAAAATAGTGGGGGGCTTTCGGAGTGGGGAGGTGGGTGTAGAAAATAAGGCAGAGTGGGCTGTACACCCGTACCCCAAACCCAGAATTTTTTCTCCGTTCTTTTCTTCCAGCTCTGTATTTCTCCCAGCCCTGGCACGCACCCCTGAGCTTGGAGATCCCCTCCCTCCTCTCTCTCCCCCCCCTTCCCCCTCCTCCCCCCTCCCCATTTGCCCAAACCCAATTCCACTCTTCCCGGCTCCATTTCTGTTATATCAGCTGGAGCATTAAGTGCATTAAGAAATCTAAAGCACAGCCCATTCTCCCAGCTGCAGGAGGCTGCGCCGCCAATTGAACATTTTAAAAAGAAATTGCTTTCCAAAGGAGGGTGGGAGAAAGCCCGTGCAAACACACACACACGCACATGCACAAACAGAGGGAGACACACACACACACACACACACACCCTGAAACGCACACAAAAAAACCCCACCACAGGTCCTTTCTTCCCCTTTTCCGGATCATTCTCGCCTTCGAAGCTGTCGGAAACGATTTCGTTCACAAATAATTTGGGTGAGCATGCGGAAGGGACTGGGGAAGAGGAGGGGGGGGATTGCCACAACTGCCTCCCTCCCCCCACTCCCTGCCGCCGCTAAACGCTAGCTGGGGGGGGGGGAGAGACGTCTCCGAGGTGGGCAAACAAAGAGCTCCCACTGCAAGACGGAACAGCTGCCAAATGTTGTGCGTTTTCGGCTCTTGCCAAGCTATGCAGGCATTTGTTCGTGGAGGCTCGCTGGCGGTTGCACGGCGAAAGACGAAAAATGGGGTGGGTGGAAAAGTAGACCAGAAGAGGGGAGCCCACAGCCAGTGGTGGGATTCAGCCAGTTCACACCGGTTCACCAGAACCGGTAGCCAAGTTTTTGTGCAGTTTGGCGAACCGGCTACCTCGCCATGCCTGGCCCTGCCTTGGCCCTGCTGCCCGGCCACCCAAGGTTACAAGGAGTGGCCGGGAGGGGGGGGGACAAGATGGGGCTGGGAGGGGCAAGGAGAAGCTGGGCGAGGCCAGGCACGCTCCTCAGCCGGTTCGCCAAATTTTGCACACAAAGTTATAGCGACCGGTTGTGTTGAACCGGTGCAAACCAGCTGAATCCCACCACTGGCTGCGGGCTCATATTAAGTGAGTGAGGTCGAGTTTGCTCATGGCTACCCAGTCACACGACCATCTAGACACGCCGACACAGCCGGTCGTTAAGGCCGAGAAGCAGTTGTTAAAATATTTGAATGCTGCCTCTGTTCACAGCTCCTTTCCTGGGAAGGTAGCGGAGCGTTTCCAGACCACCCTGGCAGAGCGGGAGACCCTTCCAGAGTTGCAAGTCCGTGTCTTCTTCTCGTGACCATCTTAGGAGGCCTTTGATGTAGACACTTCGGACCAGACTGGGACTCTCCCCTCAAGGAGAGACTCCCCGGTTGAATTGCGGCCTAGATATGGGCAGGTCGGGTGAGGTTCTGCTTTGCAGTCCTAACCAGCGCGACCAACCAATGTCTTTTCTGGGCCAGGGAGACAGGACGATGCAGAACCGAAGAACGGCGGGTATTTGTATGTGGATCTTTGGTTATTCGGGTTTTCTCCCGCGTAAGATTGGAAGTATCTAGGCAACGTTTCGATGAAGTCTCATTCATCATCTTCAGGCTTGTGTCTTCGGCTCTGTGCTTTTCAGAGTGATGTGAGCTTGCAGCTGAACACACCTCCAGCCAATCAGAACATGGCCAACCCCCCAACCAATCAGAACACAGCCAAACCCCCAACCAATGAGAACACCCCCCCACCCAATCAGAACACAGCCAAGCCCCCACCCAATCAAGTCACACCCCCACTAGCAGTTAAAAGGAAGAAGCAGCTGCAAGCTCACATCACTCTGAGAAGCACAGAGCGGAAGACACAAGCCTGAAGATGATGAATGAGACTTCATCGAAACGTTGCCTAGATACTTCCAATCTTACGCGGGAGAAAACCCAAATAACCAAAGATCCATATATATATACAGACCCATCTCTCAAATAAAAGAGAGGGTGCCTATGTGCGGAGGAATGGTGTTGGTTCCCTGTTGGTGAACCTGTGGCACGCATGCCGGAAGTGGAACGCTGAGGCACTTCGGCTGGCACGTGAGAGCTCGCCAGGAAGAGCCCCACTGCACATGTGCGCACGCCGCCACCGCCCGGCTGATTAGTCAGGTATCCGGTGCGCGCATGCGCAGGAGGGCAAGAGGGCGCTTGAGACATGAACGCCTGTGCAGAGACACACAGAGCGCACCGAGGGGTCGCACACTTATGCGCAGAGATGCACGGCACACAGGGGATCGTGTGCGCACGCGCAGATGGATGGCAGGCAAAGGTGATCGCAGGCGCATGTGCAGAGGTGCGCGGTGGGGCGATCACGTGCACATGTGCAGGTGCATGGCGCATGGGGGTTGCGCATGCATGCGCAGCACGCGGTGGGGGGTTGAGTGCACATGTGCAAGGGGTGTGGGCATTGCCTTCTGGGTGTTGGCACGTGAGCTGAAAAAGGTTTGTCGCCACTGGTGTAGGCCCATTAAGTATCTGAGGCAATGTGTCTCAATCTTGTCCACTTGAAGAGGGGTGGGCTTCCTCTCCCAGAATCCCCCATCCAGCAGGCTTTAAGAGGTGTGAACTTCCACTCCCAGAATCCCCCAGCCAGCAGGCTTTAAGATGGGTGGATTTCAAATCCCAGAATCCCCCAGCTATCATGGAATTCTGGGAGTTGAAGTCCACCCCTCTTCAAGTGGACAAGGTTGACAAAACCTGGCCTACGGAATAAAGGCACTCAATTCTTGAAGGCGTCTGAGAAGGTAGCAGTTCCTCAAGGTCTTCTCTTCTTCAGGATACAACCGTGTTCTTCCGAGGAAGATGCTGGCAGAGGATAAGGAAGGGAGCATCTTCTCTTGCCCCCACAAATTTTGGAAGCTGCCAACCTTCTGTGTAGGCCACAAGGAGGCCATCGGGCCCAGGTTCTGCAGGACTGGTCTTCACACACTTCCACCACCACCCAAAATTAGAGGACCGTGAAGATTGTCTCCGCTACCCGACAGCAGTCGCCATCCTCCTCCTCAAACCACACGGACGCAATCAGCCAACGGTGTTGGCCCATCCTTGCAACCCAGAAGTAGCTGTGCGGGTGCTTCTGACACTGTCATATCCCTGTTGGAGTCGGAATCCGAAGAGGAAGACGAACAGCGGACAGGAAGTGGGAGTGTGGCTCCGTTGGCTGTGGAGGAAACTGGGGAAGGGCAAAGTCCGGCTGGGCAGAGCAGGGGAGAGGTAGAACAAGGGAGAGGGAGTTCAGAGGGAGATTCAGGCCCACCCCCTCTTCATCCTAGGGCCAACAGGAACGGAGAAGAGAGCAACGTCGATTGTGTGGCTTATGGGGGAGGAAAGGGCCCTGATTCCCTTCATCAGCCGCAGCTGGGAACACAGTGTTTAAAAAGGGAAGCTGCACTCAGCAAGCTGTTGGGAGCAAACATGAATTTATCTTGTATTGTTGTGACTTATCTGGGTTCCCGGCGTCTTCCCAACTGTGTGTGTTTTGTTGGACTTTCAAAGTCTGCAATTCCTTCTCCTGCCCTGTCCAGTTAATTGCTGCAGCTTGTGGGTTGTGTTGGTTTTTATTTATAGTTTGTATGTACTTTGTTTTCGGACTGAACTTCCTCCACTTAAAGGCTGTTCCTGGGAGACTTTTTTCTCCGGCCAAAGGTCACCTGGACATTGGGGGCAAAGTTGGAGGTACCAAAGGGACTCTTCTTGCTTATGTGACTGGGTTGCCTTTGTGCCATGGCCCTTTGGGTCATCACAGACACGAAGACGGACAGAGGTGTACGGGGAGGTCAAAGTGAGAACCCACGAGGACAGGGTTAGTTCCTGGAGACACACATTCCATGCTGGAGGTCAGTCCCCAAACCACAAAGGGTCCCAAGTGTCCAGAGCCAACCCCCCCCCCATGCCGAAAACCACTGGAACAGCAATCCAAAGCTCCTTCCCAACCCGTCCGCTGCCCACATTAGTCAGGAAAACCATGCTCAACCTCGGCACACTCCATGCTACCACCTGCCTTTAGTCGCTCTCCGGCCGATACAAGTACTTCATCATCAGGCTGTCCACTTGCTTCTTCCGTTTCTTCTCCTCCTTCTTCAGCTGCTTGGTGGACTTCCCGGCCTCGGGACCCCCACCCTCTCTGGGGACACCGCCGTTCTCCCCATCGGAACGTTTCGGGCCCTTCTTGATGCTGGAGTCGCTGCGGTACGAGACGGTGGAACTGGACGAAGACTCTGAAGATGAACCAGAGTGGGACCTCTGCTGCTTCTTCTTCTTGGACTTCTTCTTGGACTTCTTGGCACGCTTTTTGGAGGTCTTTCGCTGCCGTTCGGGAGAGGAGGAAGAGGAGCAAGAGGAGGAGGAGGAGTCGCTGGACGAACTCCGCTTCCGGCTTCTCCTACCCTTCGTTTTCTGATCAGGCCTGTAGAAGTCCAAAGCCGAGGCTGACCGGCGGAGGCTGCTGGCCGGGTGTTCGGTGGTCTCCAGCAGAGTGGTGCTCCTGGCACTGTGGACACTCCTGCGGTCATCTTCATCTGAGTCGGGGTCCTGGCTGGAGCGTCTGAATTTGACAGGCTTGTAGTTTAGCACCTCGCTGATCGCGGCCTCCAGATCTGGGTCGAGGTAGCTCCGATGGCCGACCGGCCGGATGTCCGCTTCGTTGAGGCGCAGATCATCTGTGGCGGACGTCCGAGGCCGAGGAGGCACCGAGAGGCTGCGCGCGGCCGAGTGTTGGCTGCAGAGGGAGCGGGAGTCGCTCGGGGCCAGGCTGGCTGTATCATCCAGCTGGGAACGGCTCAAAGAGATCCGGGAGCCCGGGCGGCCGTAGGACGGGACGAGGTCGTCCAAACGAGAAGCGCTACGCCGGGAGCTCCCGGGGCTTGAGAGGGCCAAGCTGAGTGACGAGCGGGTGTCATCTTCCAGGCCCGCCCAGGAGGCTCCACTCTGACTGACCGTGGCCGAGAGGACCGAGGTCCGATCGAATTCGGCAGCCGAGGTGGACCAGCGCTTCTCCAGCCCTTTTGGGAGGCGGCTGCTGGTCTCGGAGAGGACCGAGCCCCTCTCGCTGAGCTCGTCCAGGCCTCCGCCAAGCGGCTTCTTCCAAGAGGCAAGGGAGCTACTCTCGTCCGAGCCGCCAGCCGTTGAGGCACGGGTGGCCTTGCGGAAGGAGCGGTCCGGTGAGTCCGGGCGCTCACTCAGGGCGGAGAAGAGGCTCTCCTCGTCCCCTTTCCCTCCAATGGAGTCCTTGAGGTTGGCGCGCTTGCGATAGCTCAGCGAGCTCATGACGGACGCCGGCCTGTCCTCCCCATTCTTAGCCTCCTTGCCAGCCGTGTCCACGGCGGGTCTGACCCAGGCAGGAGGCGACCGCAGCGGGGAGAAGAGAGCAGGAGGAGAGAGAGACAGAGAGAGAAATGGTTAACTGGAGGTCAACAAGGGCGTTGGTGGTGCAGTGGTTAGGAATACAGGACTGCAGGCTGACCCTGCCCACGGCCAGAAAGTTCGATCCTGACCGGCTCGAGGTTGACTCAGACTGTCATCTTTCTGAGATTGGCAAAATGAGGTCCCAGATTGTTGGGGGCAAGAGGAAGGAAGGAAGGAAGGAAGGAAGGAAGGAAGGAAGGAAGGAAGGAAGGAAAATGAGGAGAAGGAAGCAAGCTGTACATGGCACAGTGGTTAGCGTGTACTATTTCAGGTCGATTCTGCCCACAGCCAGAAAGTTCAATCCTGACCAGTTCAACGTTGACTCAGCCTTCTGTCCTTCCGAGGTTGGTAAAATGAGGACCCAGATTGTTGGGGACAAGAGGCTGACTCTGTAAACTGCTTAGAGAAGCACTGTGAAGTGGTATATAAGTCTAAGTGCTAGGGAGGGAGGGAGGGAGGGAGAGAGAAAGAGAAAGCAAGCAAGCAAGAAAGAAAGAACAAATGAAGGAAAGAAGGAAGGAAGGAAGAAGGAAGGAAGGAAGGAAGGAAG